TATATATATATATATATATCTTCTGAGAGCAAATGTTTCATAAAAAATGCATTTCAGTGCCCTAGTTATATTTAGAGCCTAGAAATTTGCTTTAAATTGTCTTTAGTCAGAGTGGGGAACAAAACATCCTCATTGTAGCTACAAATTGATGTGTGATTTATTAGGCTTCATTTTAATGGTATCAAGCGGTGAATAGGAGAGATGACTGGAGTGGAGGCCCTTTCTACCTGCCATACTGCTCATATATACTCATATTATTGGCTACATGGTGTGCCTATCAAAATAAATTTACAGCCCTACCGGCATGGATGTTCAGCTGCAACTGATTCAGCTGAATATTTGGTTGTTGCTATTGGTACCTACTCTTTTTGTTTCACTATGAAAAGGTCAGCTACAAAAATGCTCTCGGTTTAATCATGTTGGCCTTCTTAAGTATGTCAGCAGTAAGCAGCATACTATATGCAATTACTATAACAAAAAAAATATGATTTTTTTTTATCTGTTTAACACAGTTATTACATTTTTTTATGCACACTACAGTCTAAAGACAGCCAACATTAGCAATAAAACTAAAATATAGGATATGCCAAAAAATTTTCAGAAATGCTAGAAAAACTATTATTAATAATAAATTTGTGAACATTATTAAAAATATTTCTGAATAAAAAAACAGAGATTTTTAGTCCCCCAAAACACCAAGACTGATTTTTTTTTTTTTTTTTTTTTTATTGAAAATGGCTAAAACTTGACTGTTTGGGGTAACTATATTACCTATAATTGTTGCATTTAACTTTATGAACACAGTTAAACCAAGATGTATAAATACAACATAGATTAAACTAACAAACTTTTTTGCTGTTTCAAATTAAAAATAGGCTAAAATGTGCTGTTTTGGACTAAAAATAATTTCTGTTTGCTAAAAAGTACACTCATTCTATTTGTTTTTAAGCTAGCTGAATCTTGAAATTCAGATATACACACATTTTCTTACTATATAGCATCTCTGCATTTCAAATAGCAAACCTTCCATAAACTTCTGAAAACACCAGCTCTTTTCTCCCGACACAGCTGGTGTAACTAAATCAGGTTTATAGACTTCACTACTTCACTGTCTGTTAGTGAAATCGAAATAAAACAAGGGATAAATCTACACTTTATCACAGTGCTTCATTTTACATTGATGATTACAAAACAAAACATTAAAAAACTTAACAGAGGGGTTAAAAAAAAAACTGAACATTTGTAGAGATGCTGTGTGATTTGTCTCTAACAGTTTAAAATAATGAGCGGTTTCAATGTTATTTTCAGCTTGTTTTTAATCAGGGACCACTTTAGACTTGAGGTGTTATGTAAGAGTAATCAGTTGCACTTTTCCACCAGTGCAGAAAAGCAGCATGAGTAAGCTCTCAGTGTGGCAGTTTGCTGTTGGTCCTTCATTAATGTTCACAGCCTGACGGCTGTTATATTTGAGTTCACCCACAGAGTTTAGCCGACTGGTACAGTACAGCTACAGGTGTTAATTGCTACCCTTCTGAGTCTCACCGTGCTATTCAACACTCCTTAAAATGTTAATTCTTTTTATTAACATTTTTTTTTCCTTTTAGAAAAAAGTAAAGATTGCAAGTTACACCAAAACCCAGTTTAGAACAGTTAATAGTTGACATAACAGAGATAGCTCCACACATAAATCTTAAATATTATTTATCCTTTCTTTAAAAAAAAAAAATGGTGGCCCAGTGGTTTGGTTGTTTAAATAATTAACTTTTAACAGTAACATGTGTTAATTTTAGGTAAAAAGATATCAGGTTCTGAATCTTTGAACTGACTGGTTCTTCTATGGGTTTGTTGCCTGTTAGATGCTCATGTCCTGTCCAGAACTTTGGTCAACTCTCAACTCCTATACTTTTTCACTGCCTGCAACCTATACTTTTTAACACATCAGAAGAAAATCTATGCTATTTGTAGCAGCTCTTAGGGTGCAGATATTCTGAAACTTTAACTTTCTTTGTTGTAAATATTTAAACCTAAAATTGCATTCTATAATATCCAAAGATAACAGATCCCCCTGCAGGGAGATGTTGTATCATCTAACAAACGTCTTGCAGAGCCAGTTTGTGTATCTTCATGCCAAGCTTTTGGCTCAGAAATTGCTGACATTTAAGACCTTACTCATACTTTGAATTTTTACCAGGATCTCAGAGTTTCTGTTGACTGTTTTATGGATATTGGATAAAGGATTTTTTCCAAACCAGATGGTCCATTGGGTTATTTTACTTTCCTCAGACAAGTTTTTCTCTAAATCTTTAAACTACTTTGGGGATATTTTGCTCAACATGATTCTTTTTAAATGGCATTCCCCTCAAAAATATACAGGAAATGTAAAACTCTATAGATTCAATATGGATAACATTTAACTGATAATAGATCTGAACACTTTCTGTTTTAGGTTATTTTTTCTAAATACAAACTGTCGAAACTTCTTATTGAGATATCCAGAAATGTGATTCCTTTTACTGATCTTAAGGAATAGGAAGGTGTTGAATTATGGATAGATCTAGTGTACTAGTAGAAGTTTCTGTTGTAATAACTCAGAATGTAGGACCCAGAATTCAGGCAAGACAGACAATGGGATAACTCAAAGCACTTGTTTTTTTAAACAAATAACAAAAGTGGATCTGTAGTGGCTGCGGCTGTGCACCTCCCATCACTGGAAACTCTGGTTTGACTGTTCAGTCCACCTCCAAAGAACGGCATATGATCCAGCCGGAGGGCTGCCAATTAGAAGCCACGGGTGCCGCCCAGAGTGAACCAGGTGCTGCAGTCTTTGGGGCAAGCAGGAGTCCAAGCCAGGTCAGGGATACCAATCAGAACAATAACAGGATGGTCCAGAGTTCCAGGAGTCCACAGAGAGTTCAGGCAGAACATTCAGGTGGGAACAGGCAAGCTCAGTAGTTGAGAGGCAGAAAAGGTCAGGTTAGCAGGAGCACTAAGAAAAACTAAAACCACTCTTTCCACTGAACCAAGACAGGAACAGGGCATGCTCAGTGGATAAGAGGCAGAACATGATCAGGAAATCAGGAACACTATGAAACACTAAAACCCTCTCTCACCACTGCCCCCCCGAGTACGAGAACATAAACTGTGGCATCAGCAACAACATCAATAATCTCAATGGTCTTGCCCTGATTACCGGGACTGAGATATATATAAAGAATCAGGAATAGGTGGATTAGAATAGTGGTAATTGGAAACTGGACAGAGTCAGGCAGTTGAATGAAATGAGCAATTAGGCCAGCTCTCAGTCATCACATTTGTTTTTTGTTTTTGTTTTTTGTTTTTAAAAAAAGGTTTTTTAAGTACCTTTGAGTAAATGTATTTATGGTCAGTTTCAGTGGCTTTGTTGCAATTATGACTTAGATCAAAAGATATTCAAAAAAAAAAATTCTTTTAAAATAAGGAAACATTATTGGCTGTGCCATGCTGTCTTTCAAAGAAACTAAAAATTAAGTTAAGACACGAAGCTATGAGCCAAGTGCTAATATGATGGACTGAATCATAGTGTCTGAGATATGTGGGGTCTAGTCTACATTAAATCAAAATTTGTTCCGGTCTTGTGCTCATTGAACATCATTTAGACAATGACTAAATCATAAACCGAATTTTGAATTTGTGAATGTGTCACTTTACAACCACAAACAAAAATTTACTTTTGAGGGTTTTTGGTGGATAGGCCAACAAAAAGGACACGTGTTTTAGTTATGTTTTGTTTGGAACTTTGTTTATTTGAAACATTACATTTAATAAATAATCTTTTGTGTTTCTGTTAGATTCATTTTTTTTTGTTCACTTTGTATCAGCTTAGCATTCTTCCCCACTCTTCTTCCTGTCACATTCTATTGTTCAGGGGCCAATGCCCTGCAACCTTTAGATCCATCCCCAGTCCACCTGAATCAAATGACCGTATTACCTCCTACGCAGGCAGTCCAGTTCAGAGTCAAACTAATCACCTATGTTTCCTATGTCTGCAAGAAAAAGCTCCTTTAAACGTAGAAGGCAACCATTCCTTGAGGACTAGAGTTTGTGACCTCTTCCCTAGTCCCCTGCTTTCCCTGATAGTAGCTCCCTGCTGTAATAGGTCTTTCATTTAGGCCTGTCTCCTGAGCCATTCCTTGTTATATCATCCCAATACAGTAACTTTTATCTTCTCTGCATCCTGCAGGTTGTTCCTTATTTTTTTATTTTTTTATTTTTTTTTCAGTCTATGGCCTCAGGTAAATTTTGGTTTTAGTTTTTATTAAATACCCTTTAACATTGCATGACCTGCATCTGCCCTCTTTGTGATAGTCCCCCTGATCATAAATTAAAAACATCTCACTGAGCACTGTTCAATCTTTACCTTGAAAATAAAGAGTATGGCACAACTGCA